TCTACTGCTGAGCCAGCCCCAGCCTGATTCTTTACTTCTTCTGTGACTATTTTCATCTCCCCCAACCCATGGGAACAGGATTCCCTAATGCTGGACCACAACCTCCCATACTCCAGCTTCCCTTCTAAGGGTGAGGGAGACGTGASCTGTYCCTGTCCACTCTGGTCTCTCAAAAGCATGCAGAGCACAGGGTTTCTTGGAAGGTTTACCTTTGCAGCTTTAGTGAATTTAGCAGCATTGTAGTCTCCCCCCATCCGTAAYACATCTTCAGTACAATAGTAGAATTCAGAAAAGCCATAGAATTCACTGTTCTGGAAGTGAATAGGGGGCTGGTAGACCCCATTGAGGGAAGTCTGCGTCTCATTGGTTTTGTTCATGAAAGGCTGGAGCATCTCTCGACACAGGTCAAAGTCCCCKGTTCCCCGCAGGTACATCGTCTGCCCATTTTGCTGGATTTCGTCTTTAATGTCAAGGGGTAAGCAGGGGTCCAGATATGGAGCATCAGGAGTCAGACCAGTCTGTTTACCCAGAAKCCTATGGCACAAAGAGCAATTCTATCATGAGACTTATGCTGTACCACGTTTTGGAGAAGTGGTTGCAAAGCAGTGTTTATCCAAAACACTCTGTGGGACACAGGTCCTGTAAGACTGTGTATGTAAACAACAAAGGGCTCTAAGATAATTAATCTAGGAAAACTGGCACCCAACCTCCTTTTGGAGACTCACAGTGCAGAGTCACATGCAGCAGACACAACCAAGTCCAGATAAAAAAAAACTTGTCTGATTACCTGACATTTTCGATTCCCTGCAACACAGCCTGATGCTACTGGCCACAGAGTGCCCAGTGACCACGTTGTTCCCTATCCCCATTTTGTCAACAGTGCTTTTATTTTAACTGTATAAAGCTGAGAGGTAACTGTGAAAAGAACTAATTGGTTCTGGAAAATCAACTAAATACTTTAGAACAATATGAAAGGTACAAGTTGTTAGAAAACTTTTTAAACCCTGGTGGGAAAGAGAAAATAATTAGAAAAAAGTAGTAAATTCTAGGATTGCTTYACGAATGTTATTAAGTCTGGATATTCTTTAAAGAAAGCCAAAATGATATCTCAATGAGGGTGAATTAGAAGACAGCTTAATTCAGAAAAAAGATCAGCTGATAATTAAGTGAAAAAAAAGTTTAAGATTTGATCTATTTTTATGGTATTTTGTTTCCATTTTTTTTTTTTTTTGTACCAGGGATTGAACACAGTGGCGCTTAACCACTAAGCCACATCCCCAGCCCTATGTTGTATTTTATTTAGAGACAGGCTCTCACTGAATTGATTAGTGCCTTGCTTTTGCTGAGGCTGGCTTTGGACTCATAATCCTCCTGCCTTAGCCTCCTGAGCTGCTGGGATTACAGGTGTGCACCACCACACCAGGCCCTGTTTCWACTGATTTTTAAAAATTATTTTTATCAATTATTGGTCCCAACTGCAGCAGGTAGCAGGGATTCTGCTGTGCCCCATGCTCTGGGGGAAAGTTGACCTATTTTTTGAAATGCACCAGGCTTGCCACTTCCTGTGAGATTTCTGGGAACTCGTGCCTTCAAGCAAATGAGGGATAGAAAAAAAGCTCAAAAAACAGAAGTGATGTTGGTATTGGGCACCATGAACTCATGTGAGTGTGACAGGTATTCAGCTKTTAGAAGTTAGATATTCCAGAACTCAATATTCACCACTGACAGTCAACTAACAAGTATATTTCTCAGATCAGGACTACTCATGATGTGCTTGATTGCAATCAAAAAAGACTTTTGCCATGAAAATATTTACCTAATTAAAGAAAAATCAAAATTGATCACCACCTGTTATAGTGGYATGGCCCTCAAGGTTCTTGTGCAGATGGTCATGCTATTTATTATRACAGCATTGTTCAGTGGAGGGGCCTTTGGGAAGGTGACTGGATCACGAGGGCTCTGACYTCTTCAGTGTATTGCTCTACTCATGGATTAAAAATCTGATGGCATTACTGGGAGCAGTGAAAACCACAGAGGGTGGGACCTAATTGGAGGAAGTAGGTCATTGGGAACATGCCCTGGAATGATGTATCTTGTCCCCAGCCCCTTCCTCTTGTTCTCCCTGCTTCCTTGCTGCCAAGAGGTGAACAGCTCTGCTCCATACCTCTCCATCATGATGTTCTGCCTCTTCACAGGCCCACAGCAAGGGAGACAGCCGACCAYAGATGGAAATCTCTGAGTGTATGAGCCCAAATAAATCTTTCTTACCCGAAGTTGTTTTTCTCAAGTATTTTGTCGCAATGACAAAAGGCTGACTACAATACCATCATAAATGGCAAAGAGTATGCTTCAAGGCTCAAGTCTTCACACATGAAACACTTGTAATTATTATTAAAAACCCAAGATAGTCATATGTATACCTCATGTTACTATTTTAGTTGTCCCACATCTAAACTAAGAAATGCTGTTGAACTGTTCATTAAACAACAAAAAATTTTAAACTGGTAATAAAGCCAAGGAAACCCTAACCTTTTAAGAAGCTGCTCAATAAATCTGCAAAAATGATTTCAATATTCTTAAAATATAAATATTTTATAAATTATATCACAAAGATGACTGTACCTAAATATGCTGGATACCCATTTTTAAAAAAAACAAAAAACCATAAGACTTCCAATGCTATAATTAACAGAATTCAGTTAGCTTTTAAGAAGCTGCTCAATAAATCTGCAAAAATGATTCCGATATAATTTATAGAATATTTATATTTTAACACAAAGATGATTGTACCTAAATATGCTGGATACCCATTAAAAAAAACAAACCATGGGACTTCCAATGCTATAAATAACAGAATTCAGTTAGCTTTGGAAATAAACACAGGACATGGTTTCTATTGCTTTTCCTATTTAAATACTTGAGTTTCTGGCAAATGTGTCTAGCTCCAGCTTGGTATTTATTGAAGTTCAGGCCTTYACATATTTATTAAGATCAAATTGGTCAAGAAAGTATACTAGTGCTTAGCCCTGTGAATTTGAAAAATTTCCCCTTAAAATTGTTTCATCAAAATAAGCAAAGAAAAACAAGGCACAGTTATCAATAGGGTATCTAATATAACCCTAAATGTAATTTTTTAATTCATTCAATTAACTTCTGTTATTATGGATGAATTTCAAATACATAATTGCTATATACTTAAACTTACAAAATAAGTTTAAAMCAACAGAGTATGCCTTGTTTCATATCTTTTAAATATCAGAATCTTACATAAACTCATTTTTTTAAGTTTCATTGCTAAATATTTTTTAAAACCATCGACATTGGTATCACTTCTGTCTTGAGTAACTCCTTTCACTATGGCTCTCATCTACTGGACAGTTGCCCAGGTTGGTATGTRTAGGTTCCAGAACTCATAAGTACCAGCCTTCTCAAGGTCAGGAGTGGACAGTAGCTGCAAGCCTCCAGGACAGCACCAGTGCTGTCATCAGGAACGGCACTCCCCAGGGCTCAACACTATTGTACAGCCTCATGGTGAAACCTCCATAAGTGAGGTGCAGGTCTTTAGAGGGAGAGACAGTACACACATGTACCTCCTTGGAGGCTGGTAGGCCAGAGGGCTGGTGGCAGGACCATGACATCCTTTCTCATTCCTCCTCCCAGCTCACTGGGAGCTGATACAAAGCTACCAGGACTGACATACTTTGCTGATGGAACTCTCCTTGCTTGGCCTGGTCCTGTTTTTGATGTAAGACCCAGGTGTACAAGTAACTACCGAGTAGTGGGAGGTGCTTTACCTGTTCTTTTGAACTGTGTTAGCAAATATTCTGTCTTCATATCTCTGTCGAGCAGCATTGCCACCAAAACCAAGAAATGTGGCCACATAGACACGATACACATGCTCAGTATGGTGAACGTCACATCCCAAGTTAAACTCAGCTAACAAGTTTTTAGCTACTTCCTCCTGCAGACACAGGATAATGAACTTTAATATTTTAAAGCAATTTTAACTTCTCTTAAAAAGAGGATCTAATCAGAGTCTTGAAAGGATCTAAGAATAGCAAACTTATGCTTCAACATTTCCCAATGATCCTCGTAAGCATCCTTCATAATTCAAAATGATGATYCTGACTTAGGAAATTTCAGGTGTTTTGTACACTTATGGTATTGTTACAACTCTCTAAAAAGGAAGTTAGAGATACAGTTCATACTCTGACCTAGTAAATCTATGGAAATAAATATAAAAACAAAAAAGGCTATACACAGAGATGGCCTTTACAATTCTATGAGACAAAAAAAACTGGAGGTTGTCTTAATACACAATCTCAAGGGAAGCTTAAGTTAATTACAGTAATCAATAACAGAGGAACATRCTATACATTGCTAAACAAGAGACACAAAATTATATAAACAGTAGTGTTAGGACAAATGTATTTTTTAAAACTATAAATAGGAAAAAAAAGAGAAATTCACCAAAATACTAATAATGATTTTTTAAATGATGAGTTCATAGAATTTTCATTTCTAATTTTCACCAAACTTCCTTTATAGTATTTGTTGCTTTATATTGTGGGGACATGATTTTTTTATGGAACATAATGATTTCTAAAGACACATTTGGAATGGGAAATAGGAAACAAAGACACCAAAAACATTGATTAAGCACATACTTGGTGCTGGGAAGTGTATTACACATTCTGTGCATTATTTTAACTTTACATTAACCCCATCCTATAGGGGCTTTTATCACATTAAGAGAAGAACAAACTGGCTCAAAGAAGCAGTGTGACTTRCACAAGGTCACACAACTGGTGAGGAACAGGAAGATGACACCATGAGGCCTGTCTGCCCACCCCACTTGTGGGGGATAGAGCAGGACGCCAGGCTTTGGTGCTCCTTCCCAGCTGGACCCACACTGAGCGATAGAGACACATAGTAATTCAGGAAAACACGTGGAAGCGGCCCTGGTGTTCCTTGTACACAGCTGCCTGGCCTGCGGAAGACCACAGGCTGTGACRGAGAATACTCAAGGGTGTGGAGAAAAGACAAGCAAACCACCAATTCAGAGATGTGGGGTAGTGGATAACAACCTCGATTCTTTCCAGAAAAGTTCAAAGTTGATTGAGCCATTAAAAAGAAAGGATCTTCCCAATTATGACTTAAAAAATCAGAAGCTACTGTATTAAGTTTTAAATACCTTGAGAAAAAAAGTGACTGAAGTGAAAACATAAAACAAAAACTCAAGCATGCTAGTGACATATACCAAAGAAAAGTCTAAGTTCAGAAAACAAACCAGCTGGTCTCAAGGCACAAACGCTAGCGGCTGGCTGAGGCCCGCCTCCTTCCTGCAGCCTCTTTCCTCCTGGGATGAGAAGGTGGGCCCACAGCAAGCACAGTAAAGATGTGTTCAGACTCAGGAAACAAAACAAAAATGGATGGAGACATGTTAAATGAAAACCAAACCAAACAGAAGGCAATTTGTACAGATAGTAACCTGCTGTGAGGAGGCAAAGCTTACAGTTTCGGGGACTTCGTATGCTATCTGGGTCGACACGCCTCCCATGTCGAGAATGCCCGCTGTTCTTTTCCGGATGATGGCCTGGCTGTTCTCACTACCAGGAATGCTCACCTCCACAAGTGCCTCATCATCTAGAAAGAACAGGAAATGTCCACCGGAGCAGAACGAACCCAGAACACTGTGATCTTGTGGGGCATCGCCTGTGTACTTGGAAGGTTTCAAGTGCTCAGGCAAATCCAGGATAGCCTCCCAGTGGTAGGCGAGCTTAGTCAACTGAGTTGGACGGAGCCTTCTGGCTCTGCCCCCACACTCAGCACCGTCTTGAGACTTAGCTCCTCTTAAGCCTTTGGATTACACAGAAAACCTTAATTTCCAGTTAGACTCATTCATTGGAAACATGACACTTACCTTCTTCAATATGCTCAAATCGTCCAAGGACAAAATTAATGCCAATCCATGCATACACACCTACAGACATTTCACAAAATAAAAATAGGCAAAATTAAGCTTTTAAACACTTTGTATAACCCTTATCAGCACAGCCTGCACAAATATCTCATTTATTTTAATCCTYAACAACTTGTAAAAATATCACCTAACACATTTCTTTTATCTTTTCTTAGTGATTTTTCAAGGACTTTCAATTTTAATATTTATAATTTTATGTCATTTACATAAGTTGAAAATATAATTTCTCAGGTCCAAGTTTTCCTTTGAAATTAATGGTTTGTTTAAAAATACTGGAGCTTTCACTTGTTATAAAAATTTTACTTTTGGGGCCTGGGGTTGTGGCTCAGTGGTAGAGCGCTTCCCTAGCATGCATGAGGCATTGGGTTCAGTCCTCTGTACCACATGAATGTAAAATAAGATATTGTGTCCACCTAAAACTAAAAAAATAAAATATTAAAAAATTTTTACTTTTGTAGGAAGTTCAATCTATAAATTCAAAGGTCTTAAAAATTTGAGTTATCTTTTACTTCGACTCTCACGTTCACTTAGTTGCCAAGTCTGGTTTTATTTTTGTGACATTTCCTACATACAATTTTTGTCCTTTTTTCACTCTCACCTTGATTTGTGTCATTACAGAGAGAGGAGGTGACAATCCATGAGCTCAATCATCCTGCCTCCACCTTGCATGGCAACCCCTCTATCCTCTGCTGTTGGGCTGACACACAGAACAAAGCCCAGACTCGGGGCTCAAACTAAACCATGCTTRCTTAAATAGCTGTCCAGGGCCACCCTTTCCAACAACAACTAACTCAGATTATTTCTTCTGCTTGGAATGTACTCCCTACCCCTTCTGCAGAGCCCTACCCTCCTACTGCTCTGGCATGCTCAATTTAGAAATACCCATTGAATAGTTCTGAGGTCAATTACTCCCTGATGGTCCTGGCTGGAAAAAGAAAAAATACCTCTTGACTCATGTGATACTTTTTATCTTCCTTTTGGTACTTAAATTAACCTCCTAGTTCTGTGTATCTCGCTTATCTGTACCAGCTCAATGGCAGCTCCCCAAATTCTGTATTTTCTATAGTGCTTTTCACATAAGTAGTACTTGTTGAAATGACAGATGATTCTGAAATAAATACTGACTTTTGAGTCTTCATTTCTAGCAAGCTATTTCCCAAATATCACTGACTTGTCATTTCATTCTAAAGTAGAATAATTTCTTTCAAAATAGAACTATCATTTTCTCAGTGTATCAAGTCAAGAACTTCCCCTTGCTAACACGTAAGTGAGAAGATTCCAAAAGCTCAACAATCACTATAATTCAGAAAGCCACATAAGTCAGATAAGAAATACAAATTTTCCCTATCACAGTGAGTTCTAAGTATGTTCCYTAAATGTGGTAAAGACAAACTGGCTTAATGCTTTAGTAATAAAGAACAGGCATATAAGAAGCTAATTTAGTCATTYAAGAATATTTCAGGTCTKTGATTTCCCAAATTTGAAGATATTKCAAAATTTAATAAAGTATATACAGGGGAAAATGGGGAGAATTGAAAAAAAAAGCATCCCAGGTTGTAAGCGAAGGCCAATATACCAACCTTCTTGTTTCCCTGAAATGACTTCAGCATGAGARTCAGAAAAGAGGAAGTCAAAGTGCACTGGGATGTCGGTCAGGAGGTCCTCCAGAATGGCTTTCTGCTGGCTGTAAGGCAACCCCAAAATTTACACATCAAAATAGTATAACCTCAGTTTTTTTCTATTTTGGAAAAAACAAACCAAAAAAATAAAAAGTCCCATGGCTTTGATATATCCTACACAACAGTGAATTTTAAAACCAAAGCAATTCATTGAAAAGATTATTTGGGCTGGGGATATAGCTTAGTTGGTGGAGTACTTGCCTTGCATGCACAAGGTCCTGGGTTCAATCCCCAGCACCAGAAAAAAAAAAAAAAGATTATTTATTGTAGAAATGACTTTTCAAAATGAACAAGTTGCATGGATTATGTGATTCCTACAGTGAAAAATAACTGCAACTGCGGGGCATGGTGGTTGCATACCGGTAATCCCGGCAGCTCAGGAGGCTGAGGCAGGAGGATCACAAGTTCAAAGCCAGCTTAGCAACAGTGAGACACTAAGCAGCTCAGTGAGACCCTGTCTCTACATAAAATACAAAATAGGGCTGGGGATGTGGCGCAGTGGTTGAGTGCCCCTGAGTTGAATCCCTCCTCCCACCACCAAAAAAAGAAAAATAACTGCAACCATTCCTTAAATAATAGATTTTTTAAATGATGTCATTCTAAAATRATAACTGTTTAATTTATTGTCATAAATAAGTAAACTAAAAGCTATTTGGTGGGTCCTGRGACGAGTCTGGATTTGAAGAAAGAYGACGAATGTCTTGCTTTTGATGGTGATGGGGCGGCAGTGGAGGAGTGGGGGCTGCCTGGTCCTCTGGTGCAGGCTCACCTTTCCGGAAGGACTCTCATCCCAGCAGTGCAGAGRATGTAGAGTGGTGTCTCTTTGTGCTTTTCCCTTGGCACATGCTCTGCAGCAAACTTCAAAAGCGGTGAAATGTAATCGCTGACTTTCTCTGGAGAGGTAGCRAACTCTGAGATGCCTTGGGAAACAGGACACTCCAGTTAGCGGTGAGCATCTTAGTAAGACAAGCTTCAGYGCGGCGGAGGTGGAGAAGGTCAAGCTACATCTACACTCTCCCGGGGGCCCTACCCCTTTCTTCCTGGCTGCCATGGCAATATCCATTCAGCCCTATTCCCTCTTCTCCATTGTCAACGAGCACAGACCTGACTGAGCATGTACTAAGTGGCCCAGGCAAGAGCTCATCCCCTTTCCTCAGGCAAGCTTGCCACTCCCAGGGCTGCTAGCACCATCAATGTGCCACGGTCTCCAAATCTTGTCCCCAGTCCTGAGAACTCTTTCCCATCCTTCTGGTCAGTATGAATGAACTGTGCACTGCCCATCTCGGCTGCTCATCCTCTCAGCCACCCAAAGGCAACAAATCCAATCCAAACTCAAATTCCACTGTGAACATGCCTGTGCCACTGTGTCCCCCCTCAGAACTTAAGCCAGGATCTTGGAAAAAATCCTTCTCCAGCCCCCAGCCAGCACAATGGTTTTCAAAGACACCTCCCCTCAATTCCTCTCGTTTTACTTCACTTCTCCTGGTCTCTTTTGACACTACTACCCCCTGTGGTCTGGTGCAACACACTCCAGTCTCCACCGTCCCCCAATATTCCCTGCTGGAGGGATGCTTCCTCCTGGTTTGAAAGCCTCTGTGGTTCCATTTCCTCCACACAGCTCAACTCTAGAGAAGCACACCACCCCTAGAATGCTCACCCATCCTCACCTCTGCTCAAGTTCCTTCCCTTTGCCTACACTGAGTTAACGGTTCTGTAACATGCCACACTCTGGACTTAGGCCTCTGCATTTCAGCCAGAAGTGTCTTCCCTCTCCCTGCTCTCTCACCCGGCTAACTCCTGCTTGTCCACTCAGCTCCTTTCTCCTCAGAAGTCTTGCCCACAGAACCCCAACAGAGAAAGCTCTCATTATATCTCCAGTTCACCAGTACTGCCAGTCATACACTCACTGCACCATATAGAAATTACCTACTTACTTGCCTGTCCCATTACAACTGTAAGTTTCTCAAAGGCACACGTCTGGTTCAAATTTATATTCTCAGCACCTAATGCAGAGCCTGGTAATATTCAAARTGAGGGAGACTTTAGAAGTCCAAAGATTGCTTATTTCACAGACTAAGAAACTGTGGACTAAGAAAGATGAAGTGACTTATCAAAGGCATCAGGAGAAAATGGACTAATAGACAAGTTTTTTGACTGTACATGGAATACTACTTCAATGGACACCAAGCCCCAAACTAGCTAGGATCTATTAAGAACATTTCTAGAATCTTGCCATATCCTTACTGTATCTGGGAGTCCATGCTTCAAGATGAGAAGTGCTCTAGAAAGGCATTCTGATTTATACCTGCAGTACTTTGCACAGATTGAGAGAGAACCACAGTAAGCTTCATTTAAATAAGAGTCCAGGGTACATCCTGGGATGATGCAGCTATCCCTTTATTTAGAAAAGCATGAAAGTTTTTATCTTATTCCACAAGAAGTGATGAATCACTAATGGGACCTGGTATACAAAGCTAGATAAAACGTACAGTGCTTTACCCAGTTCCACGTTTTAGTCTTCTGCTGAATTTTTTATTTGATCAATATTACTTTAGCCCTGAAAATGTTTCTAGATTAGAAACAGATACAAATTTAAGGGAAAGGAAAATAGAAAACTAAAATCYGAGTCATTCACCAAGTTATAAGGAAAATTAATCTTCACTCACAGAAATWTACTGATATTAATTATATTTCTGGAATGGTGATAAGAAGCTATGGTTATTATTTATCAATGTTCTTTTTTAAGTTTTCTACTTGATATGTAATAAACCTTCATTTTATAGGGTATAGTGTAATCATTTGATATGTATTCATATGTGTAATGATCAAATCAGGGTAATTAGTATTTCCATCTTAAACATTTATCATTTCTTTCTGTTTCTCTAATATTTTAAAGATAAGTTCCTTGGATAGTTTGGATTTAATATTTTGCCATTTAATACATTGATAAGATGAAATAAAAGCCACTGTATCTCTTAAGATCTACAGTCCACCACTTAAAATCTATGTTATTAACCACCACTGTAGAAAAGTTCACCCCCAGGCGCTCCTGATTGTTTCATTCTGAATGCTCCTGACAGAAGGCSGCTGCCCATGGAAATGGTGCAATGAAGAAAACAGTGAGAACCACTGATTCAAATTACCTGATGGGAAGCCAGGCCTTAAGTTTTACAAATTGCTTAGAAACAAAAGTATCTTTAAAAACTGCCCATAATTATGTTATTAGCTCTTTTATRTTCTTTCTAGTCATCAGAAGTGTTTGGATGATAGTTTTTAAATCACAAGTACATGCAGTATWTTGTCTCACGAGTTATCTGAAATGGCCTTGTCATTAGCGGACTATGGCTACCAAACAGGGAAAACAGTCCTGCAGTGAATGCCAACCAGCAAGTATGAGGGTGGCCATGGCGAGTGAGGCACTAGGGAGTCGCCACAGGGCACAGAAGGACATAGTTTTGGGTGTTTTATCAAGGTGTTAGTCACATGTACAAACTAGAAAGGAAGGAGAAGGAGAGTGAGCAAGGAGAGCTGTCGGGTGCTGGTGTGGGCGCAGAAGTAGGCCGAGGACAGGGTGGACAGAAGGGAGGATATGGAAGGCACCAGAGAGAGCAGGAGCTAAACCAGGCGGTTCTCATTCACATACCTGGTTTTATTTTCATCACCACGGGCTTTCGGTTTTTATCCCGCATCTGTCTGATGTCCAGCAGATCGCGAGGATTGCCGTTGTGCCGTGGCCAGCAATACACAAATATCCGAGACCCGCTGCTACCACAGTCCACCACGATTCCATAGTTCACATTGGGATTACTGGTGTCTGTAGCTTCAATGTCTGTAACTCGTGCCAAGTACCTTATGAGGAAGATGCACATGCTCTTAGAATGTCATCCTACACCTACGTAACAGAGAAAATGTAGCACCCAAGCACCACGCCTGATTTCTAAGCTGGGCGGTTTCCTGTAGCATTCTCAGCATGGACAGCCGATGAGCCAAAAGAAGACAAAACAAGTGGTTCTGAAAAATATCTATACCAGGGCTGTGCTCTTTACTCCTCTACAGAAGCTCAAAACGCAAATCATTCCCAACCTACAAATGTTAATTCAGAAATCGGCTTAAGACATCATAGAGGAGAAGCTTTTGTTTAAGTAACTACTCCTCTTATAACATCAGTTGGGTGGTCAGTGGGCAGCCACTCTCAAACATTTCAATTTTTCATGCCATGTGGCAGTCAATACAGAATCCAGGTCCTATAGCCACATTTCCCTTACATTTCAACCTAACTCAAATGCCTTGAAGCCTTAAAATGGCATGTTACAGTTAGAATGCTTGTGTCTTCGCCCAAATTCATTTGTTGAAAACTAATCACCAATGTGATACTACCCTCTGGGAGGTGATGAAATCATAAAGGAGGAGACCCCAGAGAATGCACTCTACTTTCATCTTGCAGGGACAAAGCAAGAAGGTGCCATCTATGAACTGGGAATCAGGCCCTCAACATCAAGGCTGCTGGCACCTTATCTTGTATATCTTATCCTCCAGAACTATGAAAAATAAATTTAAATTTCTGTTGTTTATGAGGTCTACAGTATTCTGTTATAGTAGCCTGAATAAGGTCAGCCAGAGGGTATGGCATCCCTTCTAGAAAAAAGATGTTTTCATCTCTTACCTTTGAAGTTTCTTGTCTCTGGATAGCCGCCCATACTTATTTCGGATTATGATGACAGAATAGTATAAAAGTGAGACAGAAGCAGCCAGGATGCTAAGGACAATAATTTGGCGTAAATTGGTATTCAGAATTCGAGGACAACCTACTGGAGAGATGCTAAAATGCCAAGAAGCAGGAAAAAGGCAGGAGATGCCGATCCTGAAATTCCAAAAAACAGATTTTAAAGCAATATGCTTCAAAGAGGCCTCCCCTCCCCTGCACTGAACCTATGGGTAGATGTCCAGCTGGAGCTCCTCCTACTTGCCTGCCTGTTGGTGTCTGTATACCAGTACATTCCATGTTGCTGTCTTACTACAGACATGTTATTAAAAAATGATATACATGAGAATTAGGCCCAGATGGTAAACGACACTGGGTRTACTGTCCCCCTCTTCTTGAGAGCATTGTGTAGATTTTAATTCTACCCTGCTCTGTTCCCCCCAAAAAACAAACTTAAGTGTTCAATCAGATAAATATATAAATTGATAATGAAGTCAGTTTAAAAATTATGAAGCCAAAGGAAAATGAGGGAATTGAAATGCCTGTCGTGAGCATGCTGTCAGCTAAKCCTACAAATGTGAGCAGACCAATCCAGGAGACTCTCCATGATGTGTAAGTAGCTGAGGGAAGTAAGATTTCCCTCACAGGGAATTCCAAGGCAAATTTCTCCCAGAGGCCTAATGACAAACAGATTCTTCAACACCTCCTCATAACAAAGTTAATAAAGGTGTTATGACCTGTTTTTAGAAAGATTCCTTTGAAACATTTTAGTAAATAGGAAACATTTTAGTTTGTGTGAGGAAGGAGAGGCTCATTCTAGAACTACTATTAGGCTTTTTGTAAAAACTCTCAATACCTGTAGGATAAATTTTATTAGTTTATATTTAATTTCTACACTGTTCACTTTGAGAGTACTTATGGATTCAACTTCCTCACTGAGGGGGAGGCAGCATGCCAACTCAATGCCTTTTCCATTTGTAGTTTCTTGACTCCACAGGGATCTGGCCACTCCATGGCAACTACCTTCCTACAGTATCACTTTCCTTCACCTACTGGGCCCTGAAAGAATAAAGGTGTCAAACTCTGAACCTATTTCTCTTGGGATTTATATTTCTTTCTCTCTCTTTTTTTTCCATTTTTTAAAAAAAATAATTAATTTATTTACTTTTCCTAGTGGTAGTTGGACACAATATCTTTATTTATTTTTATGCGGTGCTGAGGATAGAACCCAGGGTCTCGCACGTGCTGGGCGAGCGCTCGACCACTGAGCCACAGCCTCAGCCCCCTTTTTTAAAATAGTTTCTTTTTAATTGTGGATGGACACAATACTTTTTTTATTATTTATTTTTATGTGGTGCTGAGGACCAAACCCAGTGGCTCACATATGCTAGGCAAGTGCTCTACCACTAAGCTACAGCCCCAACCCTCTCCCTCTTGTTTTTTTGGCACCCAAATCTCAGTTTCAAGACGGCCATTAGCCCATCACTTACCTCCCCATGCCGAAAGGCTAGCTCCAAGGCAATGCTATGGAGTTGGTGCTGCTCACACAGACAGTGCTGAGGTCCTCGTCTAGTTAGCGCCCTTCTGTTTCAGAAATGAGAAAGATAGTGCCATCAAAGGAAATGTCTATGCTGTCAAGGGCACACTTCAATCCAGCCACACAGATTCTGATATGTGATCCTTGTGTTGAAAGGGTCGCAAGTATTTATTTTGAGCAACATACTTCTAATTTCATGCTGTCAGGGAAGCAGGACTTAATCAAGAGATGATTATAGTCTGGCACTTGGTAGTACTAAGGATCTCTGGAACCCCCCAAATATTGGGTTATCAGATAGGTCTTAAGACCTATTTAATGTCATTTAATGACATTTAAATGTCTTGTTGTGCTGAATGTCAGGGAGAATCTGAGGAGGTAGGAGGTATGCAGAATGATTAAGTAAATGGGAATTGGAAATAACCATTCACTTGATAGATATCTATCACACTTCCCTTTTATACAAAGTGCCACACAGATGCTCTTCCCAAGTTGGTCCTCTGACCCTTTCACCATTTTTGCTCCTCCTCCAGCTCCCACATCACACAGCACAGAGAAGCCAGTGGCATCTAGCCAGGGCCTCCTATCAGGCTGCTGAAGCTAGGGGATATTTCCAAGTCTTTCTGGGGCACTGGTTTTCCCCTTCTGGCCTCCTAAGACTTCAGTCTTCGCTAGTGGGCTTTGAAGCTCCTGAATACTTCTTTGGGAGGGTGCTCTGCCACTCCTGTTTGCTTTGGCACGCCCTAGGTTCTGTCCACTCCCTTCTAACTTAATCACTGTTCCTGATCAGCCTCAATGCGGCTGCATTCACCTGATCACGTAAAGCTTCCTCCACCAGCTCTTCTGAGCTATGATATAGATCTTCAACACCAAGACATCTCCATCTGAATGTGGCAGACAGTGAAGCATTTCTGTAATTGAACTTCTAAACTGCCATCCCCATCCTCTCTCCTCTCCACCTGCTCCTCCCCTGCACAGCTGATCTCAACTACCCCAAGCTGCTCAAATCAGAAAACAGAGTTGTGACCCGCCTCTACTTCATCTTCCTGACCCAATTTCTTATAGATTCCTTCCATTTCTTTATCTTCAGCCTTTCTAAAACCCGTTCCTTTTCTTYGTCACCTTCAACAAGGATAGGTTCTTGTTTCATGTGCTGTCTCACTCAGAGACTTGCCAATGTTTACCCCCTACCCTCAGGCACAGATTCTTCCTCTGCAGCTGATAACCCACTCACTGCTCCATTCAGGACCCTGATAATATTATTCCTGTACTCAAAATCCTCTAGTGGCTCCCACCCTCTTAAAGTCAAAGGCTTTACTCTGACCTCCAAAGTCCTCCAGGCTCTGGCCCCTGCTCTACTGGCCCCCTTTCACTGCATTCCAGACACACTGTTTTCCTGATGGGCTTCAAAATGTCAGATACTCTCTGCTCTCTGACCTTGCTGCTCCCTCTTCTTGGAATTTTATGGCTCTAAGGCTCACTTTCTAACCCCCTTCAGGTCTTTACTCAAATGTCATCTTCTCAGGAAGCAATAATGACAAACATCYCCCTCCACCCAGCTCCCTTCCATGATTTGTCTCCTTAACATTTACTTCATTAAGTATCTACATAAGTGCTTATTAGTGCCAGTCCCTGCTCCAAATGTTTTGCAAATATTGAGTCCTCCTAACAGCATAGTAGGTAGGTACCCTAATTGTGAAGTTTTAAAGACAAGGAAGAAAGGCTCAGTACCTTGCCTAAGGTCAGTGAGTAAAATGTGGAGCTGGGATTCAAGTGTGAGGCCCTTACTCTTCTGTGTGTGTGTGCTTTCTCCTGTTCGCATGTCTTCCCCTCCAGAATGAGTGCTTTTTAGGGTAGGGGGTTGGGACAGATTTAGGCCTGCTTAGTGGCCATGTTGCCACCATCACAGACTCTGGGAAAGGGCTGGCAAGATGCCAAGTGTTAGAGTTCTGGGACCCAACAGGGTCAAAAACTTCTACACCGGCATGATCTTTCCAAACTTGACAGCTATTAGAGGAACTCCCCACTCCAATTCTTCTCTTTCACTGGGGGAAAAAGGTCCTAACTCCTTAGAATGTAAAAAATGCTCCTCAAGACCTAGTCCTGAGAAGCTCAATATGGCAGCCACCTGTCATTTGTGGCTATTTAAAGTAACTAAAATAAAATAAAAAATTAAGTTCCTTACTTGCAATAGCTTCATTTCAAGAACTCAACTGTCACATGCAAAATCTGCATTAGCCAATGCAGATGTTGAACTCTGACACAATCATATAGAAAGTACTCCGCACAGCACTGAGCAAGTCCAGTCTCTCCTAGTCACAAGGTCTCAAACCATCAATGAAGGAGAATGTCTACAATAAGACTTTTGGACTTCTGTATGTTTTAAGAAAAATCCCTTCCAATACACATGGCTTGGGAAAATACTGTAACACTCATAACAAAAATGAAATATGCTTCACTTATAAAACATTCTTATAAATAAGAGAAACAATGGAACAGAAAAATGGGTAACTGGATATTAACAAGATAAGAAATACATATGGTTAAAAAAAATCTAACTTCATCAGCATTCAGGAAACAGACTTGACAGCTATCAGATTGGCAGAGATTTAAGTCTGATCAGACTTTGGTAAGAGGGTGATGTGGACATCAAGTACTGATGGTGAGACTCTAAATAGGTACTAACCTTCTGGGGGCAATTGAGTAACTTAAGTGAACGTTTCAAAGTGCTCACCCTCAGGCTGGGATTGTGGTTCGGTGGTAGAGCACTTGCCTAATATGTGTGAGGCCCTGGGTTCAATCCTCAGCACCACATAAAGATAAAGAAACAAAATAAAAGTATTGTGTCCATCTAAAATTACAAAAAAAAAAATTTTTAAAGTGCTTACCCTCTGCTCTACCTCCCATCCTTCCAGAATTTCTAGGAAATTATAGGGTTAACTAATTAAAATATGTACAGGATGTTCATCATAGTAGTAATGTATAAGAGCAAATCACCATTACTAATGTCAATTATTGAGGTTGGTAAAATTGCATATTTATGCAATTGAGTACAATGTGATAATTCAAGGTGATGATCTAGCTTTATATATATTGAAACAGGAAGATGCCACCATACATTAAATGAAAACATTCCATCATGCATAAGGGAAAAACAGAAGGAAATATATAAAAATGTTAATAGTGTTTGCTTATTTCTGAACAGTAGGATCATGTGTCATTATTTTCTGTTATTTGTCTATGTTTTTCAAAGGGCATATATTAATTTTATCATCAGAACAAATAACTAACTTCTAACAAGCTACCTTTGACTGATGATATTGCCAGTTTCCAGCATCAAATCCCCTTTGGCTATATGCAGAAAGCCTATTTTAAAAACTCAAGACAGAGTAATTCCAATGTGAACAGTTTAAAGAATCAATGATAGAATGTGATAGCTGAACTAAGAACAAGACAAAATAAAATTTTAGTAACACACTGTTAAAGGCAAATGGGTCCTAAGGGAAGAAAGGCCTTTAATGAGTCAATGATCAAGACTAGAAAGGTGATAGGAGAACAAACCAACTCCAGGAGCAATGATCCCAGCTCCAAGTTTCAGGAAGTTTGCAGATCGGTACAGAAATACTAATACTCAGGAAATTATCAAGAGAACTTGCAGTGGGAATTCAGAGAAGAGCAAAGGAAGGATACTGCCAACAGAAGGATACTGCCAACAGAAAGGACTCCTAGAGGTAGAAGACAGCCTTTGGTTGGGGTGAGAGTGGAGAATATCCTTCAAAGATGCACCCTAAAAATGATGAAAGTTATGTGTCTTAGAACTTTTTTTTTTTTTTTTTTAGGATATGTGAGGGTTTTGACAAGAATACATGATATTATTTTAAGTTTAGAAATGTGTGTTTAAAGACAGAGAAAAAGGACAGTTCATAATTTGCTGAAGTGATTACTCTTAGTTAGGACAAAAGTATGGCTGATTGTTGGCTAGCAGTCAACAATATTAATTTGATATTAAAATGTAAACTCCAGTAATCCTTTCAGTTAAGAATCTTGGCACCAGAGCTTAAGAAGGCAAATTCTCAGTAATACTGCAATGTTTTTAAGAGGCCTAACATGCATTAGATCATCACCAGAGAGACACCCAAAGCCTGGTTATTTCAGTTGGTTATTTCCTCCTTAGCTCATCATCCTTTAGCAGTGTGAAGCTCATTTGGTCATGGGTCAATGTCTCTGTCAGTCTCTCTGTGACAGTCAAGACCAACAACACAAATCAACTGCAAAGTTTTCTCTGGTGATAGATGCAGGATGCAGTGAAATAGGCACTATGGAACTCCTGAATCCAGTGCAAACAAAGTCACCAACAGGTAACAACTAGGAGAGGCAGGCCTTCCTGAATTAGAAAAGGCAGATGACAGGTTTCAAAAAAGATCATTTGAATATCAAAGGATCCCAGGAGGATCCTGAATAATTGCAAATATTTGAACAAAGTTTCTAAAAAACAGCTGTCTTTTTTTTTTTTTTTWAAAGCTGCAAAAAAGTGAAGGTGCCAGTTGGCACTGTGATTTCACTAGGGTAAAAGATACACCTAAACAACTCTGATCATTCTGTTTTAAGAAAGCATGGTGGTGCCTTTATGATGTGTATTTTGTTCAACTGCATCGGTCTGTAGTCTCTCAAATATGATTTTTCCTCAAGGTCTACATTCCAAACTTATTGAAGCCCTGGCACCATAAATTCAATTAGTCCAGGTCTGTGGTCACGATTTTTTGATGCAAACAATACCACCTTCCAAATTATCCAGGTGCAAGAGAGATAACACCACTGCCAGGGTTACCTGGCTCTCAGCTTTAATTTTCTTCTATTGTGCCAACATTCTATTCACCGAGTCCTGACAGTTCTTCCTCAGACATCCCACACATCAGGGATGACAGAGCAGACATGACTATCTAAAGACTATCTTGAAGGGTCACTTCTGCTTTCATTGTGAACATCCCTTTGTGTAAACACCTCTTTATAAAACTCTGCTTTCAAAATATGGCAGTCTAAGAACTTTATGTAATCCTGTGGATCAACATAAACTTCTCTGTGAGGAACCCAAGTCCCTCTATGCATCAACTGTTCCCATCTTATCTCACCAACCTGTTCTGTCCTCAGTCCAGATAACATCTCTATGCTCTGATGAGGTGGTCTCTCCCACACAAGCTGTTCTCATGCCTCCTGTGGCCTTTAATAATGCCACTTCCTCTAACATTCTGCTCTCAATATTACATTTTTTTTTCAAGGCCCAAAGGACAGTAATTTTCTTTGTCAAGATTTGTTTTACTTCCTAATGTTTTACCAACTCTGAGTCTTCTCTTTCTTCATGTATAGTCTATTTTAAATAAGCATCCTCAATAAATATGTACAGAATATAAATTCTTAAGTTAACTCTCATTTTTGTCTCTTCTTCCTAGGCTATATTCTCAAAGGGTAGACATCATACATTTCCTGTTAGGGTCAGAAGAATGTAAGTCATTGATTCAATATATAACAAATACAGGTGACAAATAAACATCAAGGTAGAGCAATAAACTACTTATACAAATTAGTGCTACTTTTTATAATTCTGTAAAAGTGTTAAACAGAATTAAACCGAATACAAACAGAAACATGGAATATCCAAAAACACAAGAGAACGTAATCCTTTTAGGCTTTCTCCAAGGTTAGACAATTAGGTATTTTCATCTTATAAAGCAGAACATAAAACTGCRATGTAAACTTAAGCTGGGATTTGAGTCTCTTAATTCAGGATTCTTCAGTAACCTCTAGTTTACCTTCAGCATGCAAAATTCCTGAATTTATAATCCATCTCTTTCGTTTCCTAGGGATAAACATTCTCTGAAAATGCTCTGCACCTGTGTTCAACTCACTGGGATCTGAGGACCCCTTCATGTCCTGGGGCATACTCTAGAGAACGTGACAACGTGTCCACGCATTACTTGAGAAGCACTGCTGTGCATCATTACTTTATCACCCAATTAGCTCCATTATGCCGAGGAGAGATCTAACATGAAACTTACTAAAAGTAGAGAAGGGTAAAAATGATGGAGTACATGTAAATGTCATGATTTTGTGCCTTCTGCCTGGGCAGGTTCTGCTCACACTACCAGCCAGGGAGGGAAAACCCTGCGTGATCGCCGTGGAGGCGCGACACGAATGCGGGTTCGTGCCACCGGGGCTGGGGGCGAGCACCTGCCACTCGGGGTCGCAGCGCTGCCGGGGAGAACCCGGATGTGGCCGCGCGACCCGGGCAGGAGGAGTGGGGGCCGCGCGCGGGGAGGGCTCCGGAGAGAGTCCTCCGGAGTCCCAGGTCGCGGGCTGCTCTGGGCCCGCTCGCCGCCCCGCCGACCCCAGCGCTCCAACCGTCCTCGCCTACACCCGTGGCTTCGGCCGCTCGCCCTCCCCTCGTCCGCGCCGGGAAGACAGCCTCACCTGCTCGGCAGGCCGGGGCTCCCGGGACGGGGGTCCGCGAGCGAGCAGCATCACGGCCGGCGGGCGAGGCGGCAGCACAGATCCGCTTCCTGGAGGCTCCGCTCCGTTCCCGGAGCCTCGCAGCGCGCGGCCCCGCCCCCACTCACGTCGGCGTCTCGTCACGGCGCGTGCCCGGAGTACGCACGGCGGCGGCGGGAGCGTGCGCGCCGGGAGGGGGCGGGGCCAGTGGTGGGCACCGAAWCCTGAGGTACGCTGAGGGCTTCGCTCCGCTTCGCTCCGCTGCTCCGAGGTTAATACTCAAACCCGGGGCGCCGAGGCGGAGGCGCCCGAGGTTCCCGCYGCCTCTAGCCTGTGTGGCTGTCAGCGAGCCACGCTGTTTTGACGAGATCGCAGTTTATCTTTTCTTGGTGCTCTAAGGATTGTGGAAAATAACACTGGAAAACCTAAGAACTAGGCATTGGGCTGGGGAGGTAGCGCGATGGCAGAGGGCTTGCCTAGCAAGTGTGAGGCCCCGGGTTCAGTCCACCGCACCAGCCCCGCAAGGAAAACAGGAGCTAAGCATTGCTGCCCGGTTCTGTACAGTGTTTCAGGTTTGTGAGTTTCACAGATAGGAAATAAAAGCCTATGCTTTTGTAATTCTCTTGAGGACGCCAGTTTGCATCTGTTAGAGCCTATTCTAAGGGAGCAGGTCTGTCCCATTCCCACTCCCACACCCCAACATATGCAGTAGTTATAAGAAGAAATACTAAGATGAAGAGCACAGTTAGTTCAAGGTCCCTAAGTTGCTCAGTGATAAACTGCCTTGAAGTCACAGAGCTTTGTACTTGACCATAGGAAGAGACCTTGACAGTCAAGAGTTAGAGATAAGAAGTGACTGGCCACTTGAAGATATTTTTTAAAGGTAAAGCCCAAGGAACATCTATGCTATGGTTTAGATATGAAATGCCCCCCCCAAACTCGTGTGAGACAATGCAAGAAAGATTGGAGGTTGTTGATTGGGTTATGAACGCTTCAACTTAGCCACTGCATTAATCCATGGGGCTTAACTGGGTGGGAATTGTAAGCAGGTAAGGTATGGCTGGAGAAGGAGGGTCGGTTGTTGGGCATGCCTTTGGGGTATGTGTTTTATCCCTGTTGAGTGGAACATTCTTTCTGCTTCCTTGCAGCCTTGAGTTGCTTTCCTTCTCCTCTCCTTTTCGTCTTGATGTTCTGCCACACCTTGGGCACAGAGCAATGACGTTGGCTGTCTATGGACTAAGAGCTCTGAAACTGTGAGCCCCAAATAAACTTTTCTTCCTCTAATTGTTCTTTCCAGGTCTTTTGGTCACAGCAGCAAAAAAACTAACTAAAGAAAAAAAAAAAAAAAAAAAAAAAAAAAAAAAAAAAAAAAAAAAAAAAAAAAATTGACTAAAACAATCTATTGAATTCCGTTTATCATAAAACATACTTGGACAGGACTGATAATTTAAGGTGGACTCTTTGGTCAAGCACCTGGTGTCACCTGCTCCCCCTAGTAATATTGCACCTCTCAATAGAGCTTCTGTCCATGCAGGTAGGCTAGCAGTGACGGGAACCTTGTGTTTTAGAATTAAATAACAGTTGTTCCTGGGTATCAGTGAGGGATCGATTCCAAGCCTTCCTCAGTTTATCAAAATTCATGAGATGCCCAACCCCTAATATAAAATAGTCTAATTTTTTAATATTTATTTTTTTAGTTGTAGTTGGAAACAATACCTTTTATTTTATTTATTTTCATGTGGTGCAGAGGATCGAACCCAGGGCCTTGCACATGCATGTTGCAAGAGCTCTACCGCCACAACCCCAGCCCTAAAATAGTGTAATGTTTATTTGCATATAATCTACACATATCTTCCCTTGAAATCATCTTTATTACTTATAAAACCTAATAGAATGTAAATGCTGTGTAAGTAGTTGTTATACTTTATAATGTAGGGAATTTTGTTATAATGTAGGGAATAATGACAGTCTCTATATGTTCAGTACAGATGCCATTTTTTAATATTTATTTTTTAATTGTAGTCAGACACAATACCTTTCTTTTTATTTATTTATATGTGGTGCTGAGGATCGAACCCAGGTTCTCGCACTTGCTAGGCCAGCATTCTACCGCTGAGCCACAACCCCAGCCCAGATACCATTTTTAAAATATATTTTCTCTCTGGGGTTGGTTGAATCCACAGGTGTGGAACCCAGGGATATGAAGGGCTAAATGCACTGACTTTCAAAATATTGATTCACATTAGAATCTTGAAGCCACAGAAGGTTAGAATCAAAAGGGAACTATTTAGTCTCAGCTCTTCCTTTTACAATAAAGAAACCTAGAACTTAGAGAAATTGGAATGACAATGCAAGGTCTCTGGGAGGCAGAACGAGTAACAGGTTCAATGTTTCTGATTCCAGCGTCAGTGCTTTTCTTTTTCTCTCTTTGCTTTTCTTTTCTTCTTTTTCTTCTCCTTCTCCTTCTCCTTCTCCTTCTCCGTCTCTTCTCCTTCTTTTGGCAATCTGTTGGTATTAAAAAAAAAAAAAAACACCAAATAACAACATTAGTTACAATAGAAAACATTCTGTGACATAACCCAGGTCCAGGACTGAGAAGCTGGAGTACTTGGCCACTGGTGTTTATTATTGTACTATGTGTGTTTCCTGGTAGTTCATATGAAATAATCATCTCCTGGGTTTCTGTTCACGACTAAAAGGCTCAGGGGTCACTCCAGGTAAACTGAGCTGTCTGGGCTGCGCAAAATAACCACACATGAGACACAAATACCTTTTTCTTTGGGGTTGCTGTGATGGTTCCTCTGACCTTAAAGGTCCGTAGGAAGAGAGAGAGAGAGAGAGAGAGAGAGAGAGAGAACACACACACACACACACACACACACATGCTGACCCCTTTTATTGAGGAGAACCTATTCAAATGAGGCAAGGGGTCAGTTTCAGGGGGTTGAGTCTATCTTCATGATGTCCACTGTCAGCAGGTAGACTGACACCTGGGTAGGCCACACCCAAGGCCACAGTAAGAGAAGGGGACACACACAAGGCACTTCCATGGAACATTCCATCTTAAACAAGGCAAGGGTTATATTACAAAGGAACAGGTGAACGTAGCTTCACCCATGGGGCTGTAGCAAGACACGCCTGGGCAGGAAGACATAGTCACTTGAACCCTAAAAGAGTGGGGCAGTCTAGCAGCATGAGTGCCTAATGCCACATTGCCTAGCAGGGGAGTTAACTCAGTCACGTGCGAGGTTGGTCTCCCACATTATCTGTCAAAAACTAAAATATATAGGAAAAGATGAAAACATTTAACATGGTGTATTAATTTCCTAGAGCTGCCATAACTACCTAAACTGGGTAGCTTAAAGCAACAGAAATGTGTTGTCTTCCAGCTAGAGAAACTGGAAGTCTAAAACCAAGGTGTCAGCAGGGTTGTGCTCTCTCCAATGATTCCAGGAGAAGATCCTTTGCCTCTTTGTCGCTTCTGGGGGTTGCCTTTCCTGTGGCCTTCCTCAGGTTTGTAGATATGTCACTTCAATTTCAGCTTCTGTTGCCACATGTTGTTATTCCTGTGTGTCTATGTTCAAATTGCCCTCTTCCTATAAAAACACAAGTCAAATTGGATTTAACCTCACTCCAATCCAGTACAACCTCATCTTGCCTTGAGTACATCTGCAGAGACCCTGTTTTCAAGTAATGTTCACCTCCAGGTTCTGTATGGACATGACCTTTGAGGGAATACTATTTAGCCTAGTACCTAGTCTGGGATGTTAGGAAAGTGTTCTTTGAGAAAGTGATCTTTGCGGTCACACCTTTAGGATGAATGAGAATTTACTGTAACAAGGATGAAGTCTGGCTATAAGAAGAAGTGGCCTTGCAAGAAATGGAAATAGCAAAAAGGCTCTCAAGAGGCTTATTCTCACTCATGAATAAGAGAAATGAAACCCCAAGATAACAAGAAGTAACACTGAGTACTTTCCTTTAGCCAAGCACAGTTCTAAGAGCATTAGAAAACATTTTAAACAGAATGATAATGAAAATACAATGCATCACAAATTTGTGCTAAATTCAGCTAAAGAAGTATTTATCAAGAAATTCATAGCTTTAAAAGCTTAATTCAGTAAAGGAAAAAACATTTGAAATCAATTACTTAAGTTTCCATGTTAAGAAGTTATAATAAGAGAAGCAAGAAGATCAAACTGAATAGAGAGAAGAAAACAAAAAATGTTAGACATTAGTAAAAACCACAAGTGGTTTCTTTGAAAATATTAATCAAATTGATTAACTCCTAGTAAGATTGATCATGAAAAAAGAAAGTAAACAGCTAACACCAAGCACCAAAGAGGAACATAGCCACATATGTATAGAAATTGAAACAATAAGAAAACATTATGAAAAAATTATTCTAATCTCAATAATTTAGAAGAAATGGAAAAAAAATCCTGATATATACAACTCCCCAAAACTGGCACAAGAAGAAATAGATCATCTGAATATTAGATCATCTCTAATTATTAAAGATGTTGAACACTTTTTCATACATTTGTTGATTGCTTGTGAGAATATTATGCTAAGGGAAATAAGCCAATTCCATATATCTTTAAGGTCCACAAAAGCAAATTCCAGAATCAAATGATTTCATTAGTAAATTGTATCAATAATTTGAAGAAGAAATAATACTAATCTTAGAGAATGCTTTTGAAGAAACAGAAGAGGAGGAGGGAGCACTTCTTAACTCATAATAGAATATCAGAATAAGCCTAGAAATTAAAAGGAAAGAAAATCATACAGCAATATCCCTTCTGAACACAGATGCAAAAATTCTACCAAAATATTGGCAAATCAAAACCAGCAATATCTGAAGAAGAGAACAATAGCACAGCCAAGCAGGATTTTTTCAAAGAATGAAAGATTGGTTCAACCTTTGAGAACCGATCAATCAATTGATATAGTTTACTACAAATACAAAAAGGGAACATTTATATGTTTTGTATGATTTCAGTTGACATAAAAAAATTGACAAAAATCAACACAYATACATTATTTAAAAAATATTTTTGCCAACAAAATTGAATAAATAAAAGGAATGATCTTCCTTGGTTTGGGAGAGTATC